GCCCAAACAGCAAAAAAAAACACCCGAAAAACCCAAACAACAAAAAAGACCAGACAACAAAAAAATAAACACTCTTACCCAGCAAGTTCTAGAGATCGGCTTTAATCCAAGGTTTCCTCCATCCTAGCTGCCTTGGGCTTTCGTGGACGGCCGCAGGCGTGAGGAAAACTGCAAAAAGGAGTTTCCCCTAGGTTTAGGGCTTTTTTGGCGGTTTTGGTCTTTACAGGGTTTAGTGTTTTGGGGTTTTAGGGTATTAGGGTTTTATGGTGTAGGGTTTTTAGGGTTTAGAGTTTAGGGTTTAGTGGGTTTGGGGTTCATGATTTTCCTCCACTCCCAGAATGTGTTTGGGCAACATCTGTTGGGCCTTTTTGATGCGCAGCGACCTTCCAGTCTCAGGTCAGTTTCGTGGCTAACTCAAGTACATTTCACTGGTAGTTTCCCAAGTAGGGGGACCACAAAATAGACCCCCAAATAGTACATTCCTTATTATGGAGACCCCCCACAAACAGGTATCCCTAATTTTGGGAAACTTCTACTATAGTAACATAAGGATTCGGGGTTAAGGTTTGGGGTCTAGGTTTTCGCGTTCAGGGCTTGCGCATCTACCCCCTGCCCGCTTAACTGACTGGGGGTTAGTAGGGAACAAGGGAATACAAACCACATATAATAACTATAGAGCATGTTCCCTTCTGTTCCCTACTAACCCTAAACCCGAAACCATGTATGTATGTATGTATGTATGTATGTATGTATGTATGTATGTATTAATTCCCTATCTAGTCCCTATGGAATATATTCCTTTGTTCCCTACTCACCCTAAACCCTAAGCCATATATACTCCCTTGTTCCCTACTAAAACCCTATATATATATATATACATACTAGGTGGACCCCCACCCAGTAAGTAATGGCTATAGGAATAGTAAGGAGTATATTAGGGTCCTCTTATATTCCTATTATACCACTATTACAGGGAGAGGGGTCCTCCTTATATATAAGCAGATATAGTTGCTTAAGCTTGCCGTGCAAGGTTGTGGGCATTGATCTCGGAACCACCTTCTCTGTCGTTGCCCTGAAAGCCACAGATGGGGTGCCTGCCACAGCAATTTGGGGGTTTTAGGTTGAATACTGCCCTTCCTCAGTAACAGCTGGATAATATCTATAATATAGGTATATGTAGCCCTTAATAGGACCCCTAATATAGACTGTTACTGGGAGGGGCTTTACGTATATTGCCCAAGAATCTTTCTCCGAGAAGCGAACTTCAGGTTGTCGGGTACATGTAGACCGGTCTTCAGGGCTTGCCTTCCCCCAAACGGAATTAGGGCGCTAAAAAGCGGCCTATATGAGCCACTGTCTAGGGTTCCCTACAGACGTTTGTGAGTGCATCTATTGGGTGTCCAGCTTGGCCACCCTAAACCCTAAACCCTAACACTACCACCATCCTTCCTATCTCATTTGCTATGACTCAGACTCCGGCTAGTAGAAAAAAGCAAGCGACCTCGGCACTGAAACCAAGGATCTCCAGAATCATCATTAACTCTACTAACCAAAACTGGGTTGTCCTTTGGGATCTTTTCGTAATTTCCCTATTATTTTTTGTAGAGAGCCATAATAGTAAATCATTTTCAAAGGGCTTAAAGGACAACCCTAAACCCTAAACCCTAAACAACCCAGAATAGGCAAACAGAATGCTCACTGACAGACCATCTCCATTGTACCAGACCACGTCACGGGCAAACAGCTTCTTCCGCCGGAGCCTTGGCAATGATCATGCAGCATATAGTCTCCCTTAAGCAGATAGAATATTAGCGTTCTATTGGGGTTATATAGGGATGATGGAAAAGAAAATGCAANNTTAAGGGGGACTATATACCTATGTTGAACTTGTGGCGTCCCTTTTTTGTTAAATACTGCCCCTGATATGTAGGGTACTCCAACAGAGATGATAGTTATTGACAACACTGCATGGGAGGGAGGGATGGTTGTTGGTACGCGTGGAAGGGGGTTTAGCGTTTAGGGTCTAGGCTATGAATACAAATGCTATTGTGTATGGTGGTCTAAGGTGAGGGGAAGTGGTTTTGATTGAGGTTTAGCGTTGAGAGGAGTGTTCGTGTAACCTGGTACCCTCGCGGCTGTAGGTTTATGCTGCTGGCGGTCAAAACTACCAGCAAACACAGACAAATGCAGGTCAGCAGAAGCATACTTTATGGTGCTCCTATCCCAACACTTTAATTGAAACCCAGTCCTATAACCCCCAACCCCCCGAATTGCACCCTAAATCTCCAAAGCCCTTAGATTTGACCATGGAGCCGAGGTCGGTGGTGACCTTCATGGCAGACGGTAGCATAGTTGTTGGTGACGAGGCAGTTGAGAATCGAGGCCAGATGTGTTAGGAGCTTTGCATGACTGAACTTGCTATGTTCGAACATGGAGCTCCGATACCCTAAACCCTAAACC